GGGCAGGGCAGCACTCCCTTGAGGCCCGGGGCCACTGTGCAAGGCCCTTTCCTTCCCCTATAGGCTGTGCCTGTTCTCTGGCCATCACCATGTCCATTCTCTCGCCCTCCCAGCGTCTTCAGCGCCCTGTGATGACCTTGGGCTCACTAGGCTAACGCAGGCACTTCCCGATCCCCACTGCTGACCCCTGTAAGTTCTCTCTTTCTATGCAAGGGAAGAGACTTGCTGGTCCCGAGGATTTGCACGTGGGCCTGAGGGAGAGGGTGTGAACATTGCTCTGCAGACCACTGCCGTGGCCTCTATGTGAGGCATTTTAATTTTTTATTATGTTTGCATTAAATAATGAATACATTTATCATGGGGTGACGGCGCATGTGTGTAATACTCCTTAATGCTTCTCACAGCCTCCTCCCCGCCCTTTCCTCCCCCTTGCCCTTCCCTTCCATCTTTTGGCTTTTCGCTCTTTTTCCTGTCCCACTGCTGCCCTCGAGAAGTTATTTTCTCTCTAGCTCCAGGATGAACTATCTATTCTTGTCTATCATTTGTTTGGGGCTAAGTTTCTATTTTCCTTTTCCTTCCTTCCCACCCTCCCTTCTCTCTCCCTCTTCCTTCCTGTCTCTCACTATTTCTCCTACAAAAAGAGCAGACTTCCTGTATTTTTCTTGTCCTATAACTTCATGTATGCTAAGTTTTTCCTTTTTTGCTTTTTCTTGGAAAGAGGCAGGGTGAAGCAGTCTGGGCTCAGAACAAGCCGGACACATCTGGGTCCAGAGCTTGTCGCTGACACCGGCCAGTTGTGGGACTTGAGTGAGTGACTTGATTCTGCAGAACCGCAGTTTCCTCACCTGTAAGACGAAAAGGCCCCATTTGATGAAGCTGAGAGAAATGATGCAGAAAAATGTAGTGGTGACCCAGAGCGAGCAGTGCAAACGTGAGTTTCTCCCCGTGGTAGACACAGAGAACCCTGGAGGTTACTGGGTTCGGGTGAAAAGCAGAGCCCTCTCCCCAGGAGCAGCCCGGGGAGCAGCGCTGCCTGCCCTCTTCTGCCATGCTCCCCGGCTTGTTCCAGTGACCCGATCCCTCTCCAGCGTTGGAGCTGGAGCTTGCTGCTGCTGGGGAACAGACGCAGGAGCTCACCAGCTGCTGCTTCAAATCCTAACTCCACTGTGACTTTCCTCGAGGCCCTGCTGAGCTCAGGGAACATTCTTAACCTCTCCATGCCTCAGTTTGCCCAGCTGTTAAACGGGGATACTAAAAGTGGCAGTCTTGCAGAGTTTCCCAGGAAGGAAAAAAATGACTTAAATTTTAAAGCACTTTAAAAGACGCCTAGCACAAAGCAAAGCTGCAAATTCTTGTCCTAAACATTTCCTGAATACCGTTGCGGGCAGCAGGCTGGTTATGAAGCATGCTGTGAATAGAGGCTTCCCTGCTCTGAGAGTGGCGCGGGCCTCCCTAGGGGACCGGAAGCACTCAAAGTTGCGGTGTGTGCCCCCAGGGCAGGGCGTTAGCCTGGGAGCCTGCTTGGGAGTTGGGGGGCTCACTGTCTTGCTTCCTGAGTGGGCGCCTCCTGGAGCTGGGGTGGCGGGCAGGCTCCGGGGACACCCAGAGGAAGCAGGGGACTCGCTCAGGCGCCCCTTTCCGATAGCAGCAGAACAAAGACCGCCGCGGTGCTCCGTGCGCCCACTGGGTGGAGCCCGTTAGCCAGGCAAGGCGGCGGGGCGGCCCCGGGTCCCAGGTACCAGCCCCTCCGCGGGGCGCGCTCGGGCTTGGGGCGGGTGGAGCTGCGCGTAGCGCCTCGGGGCCATGTGGGCCGCGGTGTCAGCGGATGGACTCGCTCCCGCTGGATACCTGGATACCAGATTTTAAAAAACTAAAGCAGTCTGAAGGAAAAAAATGAATGCTGACATAAAGCCTTGGCTGTCCCTAGAACGGTGACATGCCCGGCGTCCCCAGAGCCGGACCTGCTTCTCCCTGGAGCACCACTTCCTCTTCACCTTCAGCTTCCTGTTCTGTCCTCAGAGATGATTGCCTGGACCACATGGCCGACGTCGCGGACAACTCCTTCCCTGACTTTTCCCAGTGTTTTCCAACACTTGGGCTTCTTCTGGCATCATCTTGCCTGTACGCATGAGCGCACATACGCGCGCACATGCACACACACACATGCACGCACGCACACACACACGCACAGGGCAGGCAGGCTTTGTTTCTGATTACTGTCTGCTTCTCCTCTGGACACAGAGCCTTGGGTTCAGGTTCACAGTGCATTCATCCTCTGCGTTCACCAGAGTCTGGTACATAACAGATGCACCGTAAGAATTTGTTTAGTTGACAAGTAAAAAAAGGATCAGGGATTTCAGGTCCCGATTTGTCTGCAAATTAAGCAATGTACGCAGAATAATCCTGCCGCCTGTTAAGAATAAACACACGAAACCACCAAGGTCAGGCGAAGGGATTCTCTATGGTGCCCACTTATAGTAGGAATGGGAGTTGTTAGGAAGCTAAGGGCCTATGTTATATATTGTGATAAGAATTTTTACTTGTATTGATTTATTTTGTTTAGCTTGGTCTTGGTCAGACACACAGAAACAAAACACAAAGTGCCTGTGTTGACACACAAAAATCCACATGTTTCAGCAGGACCACTACACTAGGTGGCAACTCCTGAGAGTGGAACAGCTGATTTGCAGGGTGTGAGGCTGACCCAGAAATGCAAGACGCGTACCTTGTTCACAAAAATAAAATTGGTGAGTAATACGGTAAAGGAAAACAGAACAGGAGAATAAAGGGAAGGCGGGAACTAAGGCCGGGACATAAACTGTAAACCATGAAAACCTGCCTCTTTCTAGGAAAAGGCCCCCGGGGAGACTCTCTTATCCACTAGGGGTGCATGGAGACCTGACCGCCGTGGCCACCATCAGTGGCTCTGTGTCCCAGGGCTGGGTTTCGAGTTCCAGAGTCTGGTCTGGGACAGAACTATCCACAGTGGGGCTTTGGGATGGTACCAGGCTTAAGAGCTAAACTAAAATCTTTTTCGTTGTCCCTCTAGCCTGGTGGTTTTGCTAGTTTAAGTCAGTAGGAATTTCAAAGACAAAGACTTTAAACATCACTCAGTTTTTCAGTTATAAAGAAAAACACATATTAAGAAAAGGGCAACAAATTTTAAATAAAGGCCACCCAAGGAGATTGTGACAACAGGGCATAGTTTTGGAAAGCTGACCTCAGAGACAGGATGTATGTTGTTTCACTCAGAAGGGCCTTTGCGCCCTAAATTTTGTAAAGGAAAGATTTCACATTCTTGCTCACGACCTAGAAAGCGACATATGACTCAGGACGGTTATTCTTGGCTCCTCTTTAGGAAGTGTGGAAGTTCTACTATGGGACAGGACAAATGCTTCGGGTGATCAGTGAGGGGATTCTCAGGCCAGGCTTCTGGGACACGCAAGTTGCCAGCCCAACTCAGCATCAGACCCTGCTCCAAAAGGCCACTCTGCAGCCTTGTCCTTCCCGCTCCCGTAAAAGGCACCAGTGACTGGATTTCCAACGACAAGGAGACAAAAGCTTGGCCAGGATCATCAAAGCAACAGTTTTTGTTGCATCTGGGGATCTGAGAACCCCAGACGGCTAGTAGTCCTCCAGGATACATCAGCCACAGACTTTGGCAGAGTGCAGATTTAAATTCTGATCCATCCAGCTCTAAGATCCTCTATACAAATCTCTCTCTCTCTCTCTCTCTCTCTCTCTCTCTCTCTCTCTCTCTCTCTCCCTCCCTCTCTCCCTCCCTCTCTCTCTCTCTGATAACAAAGGGATAAAATTGTACATTAAAAGTTAGTGTGAAGGGCTGGTGAGATGGCTCAGTGGTCTAAAGCACCTACTTAGAACAAGCTTAGCAAAGCACAGGGACAACGGTTCAATCCCCCAGCACCACATGCCAGCCAGCCCCGCCCCCTGGTGGGCTGAGCTGGCCACACACACACACACACACACACACACACATACACACACACATTAAAAAAAAAAGTTAGTGGGCTGGAGAGATGGCTCAGTGGTCTAAAGCACCTACTTAGAACAAGCTTAGCAAAAGCATCAGGGACCGCGGTTCAATCCCCCAGCACCACATGCCAGCCAGCCCCGCCCCCTGGTGGGCTGAGCTGGCCTCTCTCTCTCTCTCTCTCTCTCAAAAAAAAAAAAAAAAAAAAAAAAAAAAAAAAAAAAGTTAGTGTAAAGAAAAAAAAAATGACAGATTGAAAGTAGGAAATCTAAGAAGGCTTCTCAGAGAGACTGGTAAAAGTGTTTTATTTAATTGTACCATGAGGGTGGGTTCTTGTGGCATTGGCTTTGCTCAGCTGCAGGCAGAGACAGAAGGAAGCTGGAGCCCAGGGCAGGCTGGAGTCCCGGAGCCCTTTGTGTGCAGGGCTGGTGGGAAAGGACATTCTGAGTCCCTTGCCCAAGGGCTGGCCGCCCGGGCTTGGTACCAGCACAGCCAAGCTAGGCTTCCAAGAAAAGCCATCAGACAGGTGTAGAATATGCTTGCACCTTCAGGCCCGTTTTGTTCTCCTGTTTCCGTGATAGTGACACAGCCAGAGAAGGCAAAGCTACCGTATTTCCCTGGGGCAATTTAGCAATGCGGTAACACCCGGGTGGCATTTCGCAGGTCGTAACCTCTCTGTTCTTTTATTGGAGCCATTCTCCCTTATTTCTCTCCTCTTCTCATTTTTACCTCCTTCCTCTTGAGTTTCTCTTTTTTGGTCTTTTAAGGCTCCCTTAGTTCATGTGTGCACAGTCTCCCTTTTCTCCTCCTGCCTGCTGTCTCCTCACTGGCCTGACACACTGTCTCAGTGAATCCCTCAACAGTGTCATATCTAACTTTTTTATTCATTGCATGCTTTATTTTTAGCCTGAAACAACTGCATCCTAAAAATGGACCTCCTAATGAGCCAGAGGCTGGGCAGGGAGCTATGTAAGGTATCTGGGGCTGGGCCACCAGCCTCCGCCCGGCTCTAACTCTGCGCATGTCTGCCCGAAGCTCCACTTTGTCCAGAGCCTGAGATTACACTGCTTGTGCGACCCAAAGTGGGGAGGACAGATCAGATTCTCTGTCCTTACTTGGCTCAACGAACTTGCTAAGAGTTTTCCATTCTCTCTCCTGCCCATGCTATTTTGAGGAACAAGAGAGAAAGAAAGAACTTTTCCCAAATGAAGCGAACTCACCTGCTCGTTTTGGGGGTCTATTTGCTGTCCTGTTGCAGGGCAGAAGAAGGGCTGAATTTCCCCACGTATGATGGAAAGGACCGAGTGGTAAGTCTTTCTGAGAAGAATTTCAAGCAGATTTCAAAGAAATACGACTTGCTCTGCCTCTACTACCATGAGCCGGTGTCTTCAGATAAGGTTGCCCAGAAGCAATTTCAGATGAAAGAGATTGTGCTGGAGGTGAGTTCCTGCCCCGCCAGGAGGGGGCGCTGTGCCTTTGGCTGGGGCTGGGATATGGGAACAGGGGCACAGGGAACCCGGATAAATACTGATGTCTGCTGCACTTCAACCTCATGTAAACTGAAGCTATTCTTGCTGCCATGCCAGGAACAAGGACACGTGTGATCAGAGTCCTGAGATGGGAAGGGGTGGACTCTGTGTGTGTGTGTGTGTGTGTGTGTGTGTGTGTGTGTGTGTGTGTTGGGGGGGGTTGTCTGCTGCAGCAGTGCTTCCACATCACTTTCTTTGTGGTACTTCAAGACTCTTGTCCTACCTGGTTTTTTCCCTGAGCAAATGTTCACACAGTTACAACCATGGGTGGAACACGCCTCAGTTAGTAGTGGCTTACATTCAGTGCCAGTTCCCCACTCTTTGCTCCCCCATCTGGTCTCCCTTTGACCCTGGAGAAATCTGTCTTTTGACCTTGCCTATCTTTCTGGGTCACAGGGAGAGAACCCCTGAAAGGTTTTTGCCACCTGTGCTGTGCTTTCTCCGCAGCATTGGAGGCTAGATGCCTGGTGAGCTGCATATTCATTAGCAAGGATTTTTTTATTCCCTTGGGATGGTCTTCATGTGAGCTTAGGGCAGACACTGAAGTCACTTCTTATTTTATCTGCATTGCGTGTCACCTGGCACTGGGGCCATGTCGAATCCTTGGTGAGTACCCGAGAAATGATCCCAGCAGCTCCTCCTCGACAGCTGGGCCCACTTACACTTCAGGAGCTCCTGGGCTGCCAGGAGTGTTAGACAGCACCAGGGCTGCATACTTCAGTCCTCAGGCTCGGCCTGGACAGAATCTGAAGAAAAGGCTACTTGAGTGTTGTGCAGTTTACTGTCGGCACAGACACAGAACTCAGCCAAGTAGGTTGTACTCCAACCCATTCAGATTTTAATTTGAAAAAAAAAAAAAAAAAGACTACAGTAAAATCTGGCAAATCCATCACAATACATCAAAATGACTTTGATAATTTAAAAAGAAGCTCAGAGAGAACTACTTGACCTTAAAGAGAGCTCTTGTGTTTTAGAAAATCACTCCTGCCTCGCCGTCCTCTCTTACACTCTGTCTACCGCAGAGGCTCAATGGAGAAGCACCTGTGCTTTGTGCTCCTTTCTCCTTCAAACTGCCATGCGAGCTGATGCTCCCGCCATGCTCTGTAGATCCTGCCAGGGAGGCCTCCCCCATGGCCAGACTTCCCTCTGGATGAAACGTTTGAGAGCTACTGTGCTCTGACCTGGGCTTCCCAGTCAGATAGCCTCGCCTTTGCTTCCCAGGAGGAAGCCCCTGCACTCAGACCCTCACCCGTACAGTTGGGTCCTGAGGACTGAGTGAAGTTGTGGGGCAGGAGCGCAGCGCCTGCTACGCAGGAGGCGCCCACCCAGTGCCAGCTCCAGTGTCGGGATTAAACCCAGCCCAGCCCAACTCCATCAGTGGGAAGGTGGCGCCATCTTGCTCACTTTCTCAGCAGGCTGAGCCCCAGAGAGGAGGTGGCTTGGCCCTGCTCGCAGAGCCCAAGTGGTCCGTGAGTAGCGTTCTCTGTGATCTCCAAGGACCTGCTGAGCCCCTGTTGAATACGCTCAACAACCTCGTCAACACCTTTTGGTTCTCAATCCCAGTTCTGTCTCTTGCCCTGGGAGAGGCCCTTTCAGTTGCCTTCTCACTTTCCTCCAACCTCCTACTAACCTACTATTTCTGCCCACAGAGGCCTGGGTGGGATTTCTCCCAATTTGTGAGCCTGGGAGAGGAGCCTGAATTCAGAGCAAACTTGATAATGCAGAAGCCAAATAACAACAGCCTCAAAATCTGAATCAAGGGGCCGGGGAGATGGCTCAGTGGAATAAGCACTTCCCTGGCAAGTGCAAGGGCCTGAGTTCAATTCCCGGTTCCAAAAAAAAAAAAAAAAAAAAAAATCTGAATCAAGTTCACAATGAGCAAGGAGGACCAAGAAACTGCTTGGAAGACAGCAGTACCCTTGCATGAATGAACTAGGTATGAGAAAATGTCAGTGGAGTCCCCGCCAGCCATGCGTAAGCAACGTAGCAACTGCAGGACGAGTTCTTCAGCAATCCAAAATGGCAGCACCACCTGCCAAACGCCTAACCAGGGTGGGGAATCATTTACTCCTCTCTCTTCGCCTTCAGCCTCACACAGATCTTGTCCCTCATGCCAAAGCCTGTGCTCTTTATCTAGACCACTCCACTGCTAGGAGAGAAGAAATAGAAAGGACAAATACCTTTTCCTCCTTAGTTTCCCACCAAGACAGAAATACTTGATGACCACTCATACCTTCTCCAGAAGAAAAGGAGAAGAAGAACTGCGTGGATTTGGGAGCTTTAGGGTCTCTAGGTACCTTTGGTTTCCGATTCATACAATTTGAAGCTGATGTTATTAATGGAGTATGTGTGTTTGGGGTTGGGATGGAAGGTAGGGACCCAGTAAGCTCACCAACTTCTACTACATTTATTGGATTGAGGGAAATCCTGAATGAATTCATAGAATAGTCATTGCTCTCCGCAGATGCACAATGATCTTAGCATGATTAAGTGAATGAGTGGGTGAATGTGGAGGACCAACAAGCATGCTCTCCACATCATGAACAGTCGGATGGGTTCATTTGCTTAAGCTACATCCTTATCCCTGGCAGGCAACCTGGGTCTGGGCACAGACAGAGCCATGAACTTGGTGGTTGAGCACCAGGTTGACCAGTTCTTTCTTTCTTTCTTTCTTTCTTTCTTTCTTTCTTTCTTTCTTTCTTTCTTTCTTTCTTTCTTT